ACTGTCTCCAAGAGGAAACAACCAGAGGCTGGAGAGATGGCTCAGCTGTGAACTCCTGGCAAGGAAAGCCCGGAACTCATGCAGAGGTAGAAGGAGAGAACCTATTCCAGGAAAGTCCAGCAGGTAACCTCCACGTGTGTCCCCCACCGCGCGCACACACACACACAGATTCACATTTCTGATGCCGTGAGTCTCTTGTATTCCTCCTAATCTTTCATGTCTCTCTCTTGTTTTGTTTTCTGAGACAGAGTTTCTGTGTAGTCCTGGAACTCTGTAGACCAGGCTGGCCTCGAACTCATAGAGACCTGAGTGCTTTTGCCTTTAGTCCAGTGCTGGGATTAAAGGTGTGCACCACCACCACCAGCACCACTGGGTCACTTCTCATTTTTTTAAAGATTTATTTTTATTTTGTTTTGCCTGTATGTATGTATACATCACGTGTGCATGTGGTGTAGAGGAGGCCAGAGAAGGCATCAGATCCTCTGGAACTGAAGTTACAGGTGCTTGTGAGCTGCCATGTGAGCTGGGAAAGGAACCCAGGTTCTCTGAAGAGCAGCCAGTGCTCCTAACTGCTGAACCATCACTCCAGCTCCTCATCACTTCCCCAACTCAACCAGTTACTACAGAATGTATGCTATTTTTTTTTTTTTTTTTTTTGAGACAGAGACTCAGTGCGTTCTGGCTGGCCTGGAGCTTGCTATATAGATGAGGTTGGCCTCAAACTCACAGAAATTCACCTCTTCCTGCCTCCCTGCTGGGATCACAGACATGTGCTGGGGCTGGGGAGATGGTTCAGCAGTTAAGAGCATTTACTGCTCTTGCAGAGGACCTGACATTGGTTCCCAGCATCCACATCCTGCTCAAAACCACTTGTAACTCCAGCTCCAGGGGATCCTCTGGTCTCCGCTGGCACCTGCACTCACATGTACACATATCCACATGCTGACACGTAACTACACGTAAAAAAGTAAAATAAAAATAAACCTTTCACAAAGGTGTGGGTCACCACACCTGACTTTTGCTACTAATTTGATGCTCTAACAGATAATCCACATCCACAGCTATGTATGCTCCAAGCAATTTATAGACCACATAAACCTTACACTCCAGTTTCAGTTTGAGGCCACTTACAAGCCATGGTGACTCCTGGCAACGGCTTGCATGCTCCCACCCTCATCTACACAACATGGGTATCAATGAATGAGAGAACTACATCACAGAGCACAATGCATGCCTACTCTATTGTTAGGGAACCAATAGTTTAATGCTTCATTTCCTCACAGGAACAATAAAATAAAAGAAACATACTTATCCTATGTAGTTAAAAAAAATCGATAAGCTAATATAAATAGCTTTTACAAGAGACATTATTTTGGGGGGACAGGATTTTAAGACAAGGTTTCTCTGCATAGTCCTAGCTGTCTTGGAACTCACTCTGTAGACTAGGCTGGCCTTGAACTCAGAGATCTGCCTGCCTCTGCCTTCTGAGTGCTGAGATTAAAGGCATTTGCTACCACTGCCCAGCAAGAAACAATTTTTTAACAGATTAAAAAACAAACAAACAAACAAACAAAAAAACTATGTATGACCAGAAGGCACCACATAAACTTCCAAAGGCAGAAAGCAATCAACAGTCCTACCCAACTATGATGCCCATGAACCACAACAATGACCAGCATGGCACAATAAGGGTGCAGTAGTGGTAGGCATTTCTTGGTGGTAACCAACAGCTCTACAATTGGACTCAAGGCCTGCTCAAACAGAAGGGAACTCATGCCGGGTTCTGGAAACATAGCCAACTACCCAGGCAACTGAAGTCATGGATCTTGGAGAACCTCCGATGGCCACTTACTAAACCAGCATAATCCGTAAACTATATTCTAAATATTTGTCTTTACACCCACAGGCAAGTGTGGGTCTCACCCCTCACCAAAGGAACTTCTCTTGATGCACTGAGACCACTACAGAGAACTACAACCTATCAAAACAAGAGTTGTGAAGTCCAGTCCCAACTGAAACATCTACAGCATAACTGCACACAAGGCTCAGAGTTCATGGCAGAAGGCAGGTCAGAAAGACTGCAAGAGGGGCTGGAGAGATGGCTCAGAGGTTAAGAGCACTGGCTGCTCTTCCAGAGGTCCTGAGTTCAATTCCCAGCAACCACATGGTAGCTCACAACCATCCGTAACGAGATCTGGTGCCCTCTTCTGGCCTGCAGTCGTACATGCAGGCAGAACACTGTATACATAATAAATAAACCTAAAGGAAGGAAGGAAGGAAGGAAGGAAGGAAGGAAGGAAGGAAGACTGACTGACTATAAGAACTAGAGGAAAAGGGGGTTTGTTGTGAAATTGTGTCTCCTAGAAATGTCAGAGAAGCCATACCCATGAAACCTCACCAATGTGGCTGCCTAAGCAAGACCTGAACAAGGCTAACACCAATAGCCATGCTAACATGGAAGGGGTGAAGCTCACGAGGCCTCAACCCTAGACCAAAAACTACAGCCAACTGAGGGATGCTGAGAGCAGAATAGTCTTCCCCTGGATGATCCAACACCAAATGGTCAGCCCAGGAAACATACATACATGTAACATGGTATGTTATATATGTAACATGTAACATTATACAGACTGAGCAGGTTGTTTGTATATATTTAGAACACACACACCAACAACCAACAACAACTATTAAAGAAAAGAGACCATGCATTCTGGGAAAGAGTAAGGTGTAGGGGGGGTTACATGGGAGAGGTTGGAGGGAAGAAAGGCAAGGGAGAAATGATGCAATTATAATCTTAAAAAGTAATTAAAATAAAACTTACGAGTACACATACACGTGTACATGAGTGAGTGGGTGAGTGGGTGTGTGTGTGTGTGTGTGTGTGTGTGTGTGTGTGCGCCCCTGGAGCTGGTGTGACAGGCAGCTGTATGCTACCTGACATGAGTGCAGGGAACTCAACCCAGGTCCACTACAGGAGCAGCACAAGCCCTTGACTGTTGTGCGGGGCCACCTCTCCAGCCCCATAGCTTTTCTTTTTCTTTTAAATGGGGAGAAGAATACACACAATTTACACATATTTAAGGACTATTAGACTACTAGAAAAGGCCTTAAAGCAGTGCCGGGGCCAGATGGCACTGGAGAAATGTCTGCTGCCATCCTCTGAGTGGATGCTTGGAAGCACAGTGGAGGGGATGGACAGTGTGAACGTGGTTTCCTAGGCACTGAGTTCTTGGGGAGCACACTGCTAACAGGCTCTTAAACTTGAGAAGCATTACAGCTCTCTGGATCACCTTCAGCTTCCTTCACCTTCTCTGGAAAACCTCTTCCCCAATCCATTTTTTAAAATACTAGGCTGAGGCCAGGGAGTGGTGGCGAACTCCTTTAGTCCCAGAGGCAGAGGCAGGTGGATCTCTGAGTTCCAGGCCAGCCTGGTCTACGGAGTGAGGTCCAGACAGCTATGGCTACACAGAGAAACCGTCTGGGGGAAAAAAAAAGTACTGGCCTGAACAATTGTACATGTGGTCCTTCTAAGAGAAACTATTAGGGTGGCTGTGTTGTTGAACCCCTTTAATCTCACACTTGGGAGGCAGAGGTAGGCCGATCTCTGTGCGTTTGAGGCCAGCCACAGGCAGGCCATGCTACACAGTGAGATGCTATCTCAAAAGACAGACAAACCGCCGGGCGGTGGTGGCGCACGCCTTTAATCCCAGCACTCGGGAGGCAGAGCCAGGCGGATCTCTGTGAGTTCGAGGCCAGCCTGGGCTACCAAGTGAGTCCCAGGAAAGGCGCAAAGCTACACAGAGAAACCCTGTCTCGAAAAACCAAAAAAAAAAAAAGACAGACAAACCAACCCCAACACCCAAAATCAAACCACCACCAAAAAACAACCCCACAAACCCCCGAGGTAATAAACACCTGCCCAGACCCTCTCTTCTCAGAGCAAAACACACACACACAAGAGGCAAAAGCAGCTAAGAAACAGATTTCAAAACTCTCACTAACTTCAAAGGCACCTAGGAAGATGGAAACGGCAAGGGCTCAGCTCAGGCTCTGGAAGGGATCCAGGTTCAAATCCCAGCTCTGCTGTCAGGAGCTAGCTGGGTAGCCTGGGGCAAACCTTGCTCCCTACAGACTTGGTTTTGTACCCCACAAGAAGAAAAATTATGGATCGGAACTATTGGCTCAGTGGTTAAGAGCACTTGCAGAGGACCCCGGTTCAGTTCCCAGGACCCACGTGGCAGCTTACAACAGGCTATTAATCAGTTCCCTGTCCTGGCAACCAGGTATGTGCGTGGTGAACACGCATACGCGAAGGCAGAACATTTATACACAAAAATAAAAACAAATACATCCTTTTTAAAGGTGGGAAAAACCACCATCAAGTTTGCTACGCAGTTAAAAAAAATTTTTTTTTTAAAATTTACTTATTTTGTGTGTGTTTGAGTGTGCACGTGTGGAGGTCGGAAGACAACTAGTGGGAACCAGTTCGCGCCTTCCACCACGTCGTCCCGGGGCTCGAACTCACTTCGCCAGACTTGGCGCCAACCCCCCCGCCCCCCCCCACCTCCCGAGCCTGCAAAGTTTGCAATGGCATGTCACTTGAACTGGGCCGTGGAAGGAAACGAACTCCCAAACCTGAAGTCCTCCAAAGGATGTGCAGCTCTCTGGGACTGTTGCCGAGGCAACAGGTGCTCGGGCTGTGACCTCCCTCGCGACCCCGGGCACGGCCAGTTAGTTACCTGCTCAGCTTCCGCCAGCCACAGCCACAGCTGCCGCCACGTCTGGAACTTGTACCTGTCGCTGAACAAGAAGCACATCTCGAGGCTGGCGTAGCGGGACGCCAGCGGAGAACGGTAGCTTTCAGGACCGCCAGGCTCTCCGGCTGCAGCCATTTTCCACACGGGACGCAGCGGCGGACACGAGCAGCGCCGCCCAAAGCGGAAGCCGGCGCGTGCGTGGGGGCGGGACTTCCTCTCCCGGCTCCGCCCCCAGGGGTAACGCCGACCTGGGTGGTGGAAATTGCAAAGCACGTCCCTGCTGAGGGTGAACGCGGTTCTCTTGGTTTGTAGGAACACGATTAAAGCTTCTTAAATCGACGCCCCGCTCTGCACCTCCTTAGTTTTTTTCCATTGAGGAACATACATTAGCACCAGCCTTTAGCACAGAAAGGAAGGTTCCAGAAGCATTCGTAGGGACGCCAGGAAGAAGCCCGGGTGGAGCCTGCAGTACTGCGGTCCTGCAGGAGCCAGACTCAGCGGGAGACAGAACCTCATAAACCGCGTGCTGGTTCCGTGCTCAGAAAGCAGCCTCTCAGAATTACTCAATGCGTGACCGCCCGAGAACAAATCAAACCCCAAATTCAAATTTCTGTGGCAGAATAAAAAGGAAAATCGTACGCACTTTTAAAAGGATATGTTAAAATTCGACCGACTTCTGTATTTGCACAGGAAAGAGCAAAGCAAGACGAACTGACTTTCAGCAGAAAACAAAATAATCAAAGAATTAATAATAAAAAAGACCTGCCTTTGGGGCTGGAGCGATGGCTCAGCGGTTAAGAGCACGGGCTGTTCTTCCAGAGGACCCAGGTTCAATTCCCAGCAACCACATGGCAGCTCACAAACTCCTGTAACTCCACGTCCAGGGGATCTGACACCTCGCACAGACAGACATGTATGCAAAACACCAATGTACATAAAATAAAAATAAATAAATCATTAAGAAAAAAAAGTCCTCAGCTGCCGCCAAGGTGCTCGGTTCTTCCGAGGAAGCTAAGGCCGCGTTGGGGTGAGCCCCTCACTTCATCCGGCGACTAGCACCGTGCCGGCAGTCCGCAACATGGCCTCCGTCTCCGAGCTCGCCTGCATCTACTCCGCCCTCATCCTGCACGACGACGAGGTGACGGTCATGGAGGACAAGATCAATGCCCTCATTAAAGCAGCTGGTGTCAATGTTGAACCTTTCTGGCCTGGCTTGTTTGCAAAGGCCCTGGCCAATGTCAACATTGGGAGCCTCATCTGCAACATAGGGGCTGGTGGGCCTGCTCCAGCAGGTGGTCCTGCCCCCTCGACTGCTGCTGCCCCAGCTGAGGAGAAGAAAGTGGAAGCAAAGAAGGAAGACTCTGAGGAGTCTGATGACGACATGGGCTTTGGTCTTTTTGACTAAACCTCTTTTGTTAACATGTCCAATAAAAACATGAACCTGTTAAAAAAAAAAAAAAAAAAGACCTGCCTTTAAGATTGTTGAGACTGAGCAAGTGGGGCTCCCAGGGGAAATGGGAGTAATCACTAAAATACTTTGTTAGTAAGTGTCATAATGTCTAACACTTTATATGGTAATTAAGTACAAACGTTTGAAATAAAGACTATTAGTAAAAGTAAAAAAATAAAAATGTAAAAAAAAAGTTCAGGAATGAGGAACACACACATGTAATAATTGTAATCATCTTCCTTTGAGTATTTGATTACATTTAATATAGTAATTATATTTATATACAAATTTATTATATTGTTCTAAATACAAATAAAAATAAATGCACTCATTAAAAAAAAATTTTAAATGTTAAAAAAAAAAGATTGTTTGAGAAGCCAGGCATGGCGGGACACACTTGCAAACCCAGCACTTGGAAAATGTAGGCAGGAAGATCAGGAGTTCAGTCATCCTCAGCTACATAGGAAGTTCAGATCTGGAAGACCACCCGGACTACTTGAGACCCTACCTCAGACAACTACTTCCCACCCAAACAAACAAAACAAACCCAAGCAAATAAAAGGGGCTGCTGCAGTGTGATGCTTCGCCTTTCCCACTAAACACTATTGCTGACAGTTACTTTAATCATTTTTTTTTTTTTGGTTTTTCGAGACAGGGTTTCTCTGTGTAGCTTTGCGCCTTTCCTGGGACTCACTTGGTAGCCCAGGCTGGCCTCGAACTCACAGAGATCCGCCTGGCTCTGCCTCCCGAGTGCTGGGATTAAAGGCGTGCGCAACCACCGCCCGGCACTTTAATCATTTTTTTTTTGCAACATGGTCTCACTGTGCAGCTGTCGTTCCCTGAGTTAGAGCAGGCTGACATCTAACTCAGAGTTAGCTTCTGTCCCTCCAAGTGTCAGGATTAAGGTTGTGCTGCACTCCCAGCTCCAACAACAGCAATCTTTTTGTTTTGTTTTGTTTTTCAAGACAGGGTTTCTCTTCACAGCCCTGGCTATTCAGGTTGCTCTGTAGCCCAGGCTGGCCTCGAACTCACAGAGATCCGCCTGCCTCAGCCTCCTGAGAGCTGGGATTAAAGGCGTGCGCCACCACTTTGCAGCTATTTTTTTTTTTTTCTTTTTGAAAGAGTGTCTCACTATGTAGCCCTGACTATCCTGGAACTGTTAGTAGACCAGGCTAGCCTCTAAGGCACAGGAAGCCACCTGCCTCTGCCTCCCGAGTGCTTCAATTAGAGGCGTGCGCCACTACCGCCTGCCAATTGGCAGCAATCTTGACAGAGCGGTGGTTCTCAACTTTCCCAATGCTGTGACCATTTAATACAGTCCCTCATGTTGTGGTGACCCCCAACCCTAAAACCCACAGATTGAGAACCACTGTGATGGAGACAGAGATCCCATCTGTCTGCTTTGGTCACCTCTACTCAGCACCACAGCTAGCATAGAGTACATACTCATTAAATAATTGAACAAATACCCACCCAGAGAAGCATAGTTCAGCAACAGAGATAGGCATGGTACATAAGATCTGAACACTGCTCCCTCTGTCCAAGCCTGCCTCACAGCTACCTCCTCTAGGCAGCTTTCCATGGTTCCTTTAGCGTCTCCTTCTAATTGATTTCTCCCAGAATACCTCGTCCACCAAACAAAACTGTCAGACACCTGGTCCCAAGGTCCTTGAGCAGCAGAAGGCTGGATTGGGGTTCCTGGGACAGCGCACTCTGGATTGGTTCAGGGGTATAGTTGCTTTCATATACTGTAGTGGTTCACTGTTCTCTTTCTGCAGAGATCCCTTGTGAAGTCAACTATTCTCCTGCCTCTGCTTCACTTAGCCTCCTGTTACTTTTCCTCATCTAACTATAGTTTTAGCCTACAGTTTTCTACTTGGTCTTACTTCCTTCTCTGACTTGACTTTTGAGACAGAGTGTCGCTTTGTAGCCTTAACTGGCCTGGGACTCACCATGTAGATCAGGCTGACCTTGAATGAATTGTAGCGATCCACCTGCTTCTGACTTCTGAGTACCCAATTAAAGGCATGGGTCACCAAGCCAGGCGATAGTGGAGCACGCCTTTAATCCCAGCACTCGGGAGGCAGAGCCAGGCGGATCTCTGTGAGTTTACAGAGCAAGATCCAGGACAGGCACCAAAACTACACAGACAAAACCCAGTCTTGAAAAAACCAAAAAAAAAAAAAAAAAAAAAAAAAAAAAAAAAAAAAAAAAAAGGCACGGGTCACCATGACCAGCTGTTTGGGTTTTGTTTTTTAATGCATGGAATTATTCTGTTAAACATCACCAGGTGCCTCAGGGGCAGTTGAGTGTGGAGTCCCCTGCTTTTTGACTATCTCCTCACTAACCATTCCCAGCATTCCCATAGTTTTTGGTCCTGTCCTTTGGGCGAGTTTTGGCACTTAGGATTCTTGCCTGAAAATATGGCTGATGCTCCCCGGGCACAGTGAGGAGAGAAGCCAAGTGACGGTGGCTCTCTGCCTGGGACAACGGGCTCAACCAATTGGTCCTTCTCTTCTGCTTTCCTAGCACTGCACTGTAACTTCTGTCCCTTCCTCTTCCTACCCCGCCCCTCCCGCCACCGCCGCCGCCCCTTCCTTCTCGCCTCTTTCGCCTCTTTTGTTTGTTTTTTTTGAGACACAGTTTCTCTGTTGTAGCCCTGGCTGTCCTGGAACTCTCTAGACCAGGCTGGCCTGGAACTCACAGAGATCCTCCTGCCTCTGCCACACGAGTGCTGGGATTAAAGGCGTGAGCCACCACCGCCCACACTCTCATTTTTTTTTGTTATCTTTCTGAAAAGGCTACGTTCTATGATATATGTTTGTCTGTATTTGCACAAAGCATAATAAGGTGTGGAGGGGGTGCAGGGACTGGAATAGACAGGGCTAGGTCTGTAAAAAATCTCCAACGCACATCTGTTATGTTCTTTTGATTTTTGTGCCCAGTGGTTTTCCTTTCTCTTTTTTCCTTTTTCCTGTACTCATTCGCCCCTCCAGGCTGGCACAACTGTTCAGCACCTTCTCTCCTTCCTGCACCTCTCTTCCCTTCCCTCAGTCTACCACTCACACACTACATCAGGAACAGTGTGATAGGGGCTGCCCAAGACTCAAGCCACGCTTCCTCCCTACTTCCATTAAAAGGCTTACCTTTGAGTCCTCGAGACCTCCAAAGTGCTGTGTGGGATTGGTGCCTAGATATGTCCATTTGGCTGTCACTGTTACCTGGAGCAGCATCTCTCAGTTTTGACTTTTTATTTTTATTTTGTGTGTATGGGTCTTACATGCCTGCATGTATGTCTGTGCACCACATGTATGCAGTACTCAAGGGAGCCAGAAGAGGGTGTGAGCCACCAGCAGGTGCTGGGGATAGAACCCAGGCCCTCTGGAAGAGCAGCCAATGTTCTTAATTGTTGAGCCATCTCTTCAGGCCAGCACATGCTCCCCGAGGGCCCCCCCCCCCGCCCCCACTTCCTGTGGCCTAATTCAAAGAACAAGTCTTCAAAAAAAAAAATTTTTTTTTTTCGAGACAGGGTTTCTCTGTGTAGCTTTGTGCCTTTCCTGGAACTGGCTTGGTAGCCCAGGCTGGCCTCGAACTCACAGAGATCCGCCTGGCTCTGCCTCCCGAGTGCTGGGATTAAAGGCGTGCGCCACCACCGCCCAGCTAGTCTTCAAAATTTTTAAAATTAGATTTATTCATTTTATGTGTGTTTTACTTGCATGTATGTATGTGCATCACCTGCATGCCTGATGCCTACAGAGGTCAGAAGAGGGCATTGTAGCCCCTGGAACTGGAGTTAGGGATGGTTGTGAACCACCATGTGGGTGCTGGAAATTGAACCTAGGACCTCTGCAAAAGCAGCCAGTGCTCCTAATCCTGAGCCATCTCTCTGATCCCTTTTTATTCCTGTGTTTTCATTGAGACTTTTTTTTTTTTTTTTTTTGGTTTTTCGAGACAGGGTTTCTCTGTGTAGCTTTGCGCCTTTCCTGGAACTCACTTGGTAGCCCAGGCTGGCCTCAAACTCACAGAGACTTTTTTTTTTTTTTTTTTTTTTGAGACAGGGTTTTTCTGTGTAGCTTTGCTCCTTTCCTGGAACTCACTCTGTAGACCAGGCTAGCCTCGAACTCACAGAGATCCACCAGACTCTCCCTCCTGAGTGCTGCGATTAAAGGCGTGCACCACCACTGCCCGGCGAGACAGGGTCTCTTGTAGCCTAGTCTGGCCTCAAACACCTTACTTTTATCCTCCTGTCTCCACGTCCCCAGTGCTACGATCACAAGGGTGAATCGTTACCATTGCTACCTTTGTGCATGCTAAGTGCCTACATCTCCAGTTTTGTTTACAACTGTCTCCTTCCCGGACACTAGACCTCAACCTAGGTTCTGGATGTGCTAGGCAGGAGCCTAACCCCTGCTCTGCACCTCTAGCTTGTATTTTTCCCATTTAAGGTCCTTGTTTTTTTAGCCTGGTTCTCACAAAACAAGCCAACAAAAAAAATAAATAAATAAAAACCTTGGGCCAGAGAGATGGCTCAGTGGCTGAAGGGGCTTCCTGATAACTTGAGTTCGATTTCCAGAGCCTATGTGGTGGAGAGAACAGAGTTCTGAAAATCATCCTTGGATACCCCCAACCCAAATACATTAAAAATGTCAATAAATTTTTTTTGTATGTTTGAGATAGGTTCTTACCCTGTAGTCCAGGCTGGCCTGGAGTCTGAGGGAATCCTGCCTTTCAGCCTCAGCCATCTCTTTTTAGTGTGGTGGGATTACAAGTGTGGCTCACTAATGTTTTTTTTTACTATAACATCCTATTACCCACGAGGATCGTCCATCTTCCATACACGAAGTGGAGGCCGTGCAACTCAACAGTGAGATGTAATTAGGCTGGAGTGTGGATAACACAAACAATATTAGGTCCAGCCTGTATTGCTTGCTCCCAGGGTCTGCGGAAGAGTCTAACAACCAGCTGAGGATTCTAACCTGAGGGATAGTCAATGAATCTAAGCACACTGAGTTCTTTAG